GCTCCCATCACCCAACAGAAACATTAAAAAAAAAAAAAAAAAAAAGGCTGGGTGTGGTGGCTCATGCCTGTAATCCCAGCACTTTGGGAGGCCAAGGCGGGTGGATCACCTGAGGTCAGGAGTTCGAGACCAGACTGACCAACATGGTGAAACCCTGTCTCTACTAAAATAAAAAATTAGACAAGTGTGGTGGCGCACGCCTGTAATCCCAGCTACTTGGGAGGCTGAGGCAGCAGAATTGCTTGAACCGGGGAGGCAGAGGTTGCAGTGAGCCAAGATGGCGCCATTGCACTCCAGCCTGGGCAACAAGAGCAAAACTCCGTCTCAAAAAACAAAACAAAAGCAGTAATTGTTAGAAACAACTTTGTCAGTACGCTGAAAAACAGCCAAAGCTTTACAACAACCAAATGAAAGCTAAATCAAGAAAAAGGCAACTTAAAAAGGAAAGGTAGAAAACCTTTGTGGCAATGTTTTTTAAGAGACAGTATCTTGCTCTGTTGACCAGGCTGGAGTGCAGTGGCATGATCATGGCTCACTACACCCTTAAACTCCTGGGCTCCAGTGATTCTCTCACCTCAGCCTTCCAAGCAGCTGGGACTGCAGGCTTGAGCCACCACACCTGGCTTTTACGGGTGTCTTGAAGACAGAAGGCTGCATTCCCAGTGTGGGACCTCTTGGCATTCCACAGGGACAGGGCAGACCTTACCTCGAATTACTGGTAAATCTGCTATCACACGTCTGAGGGCTACCTGAGGGAATGATGTAGACGCCTGTCTATTTGCTGGTTAGAACTCATTGACGCTAGAAAAATGGTGAGCATTGCTCACAAACATTGCAAGGCAAACAATCTACCTAGGACTGGGGCAAAACCTGACAGTTGAGACACACAACACTCCACTGTTCTCTCTCTCTCTCTTTTTTTTTTTTTTTTTTTGAGACAGTCTCACTTTGTTACCCAGGCTGGAGTGTGATGGCGACATCTCAGCTCACTGCAACCTCCACCTCCCAGGTTCAAGGGAGTGTCCTGCCTCAGTCCCCCAGTAGCTGGGATTACAGGTGCCCGCCGCCAAGCCCGGCTAATTTTTGTATTTTTAGTAGAGATGGGGTTTCACCATGTTGGCCAGGATGGTCTTGAACTCTTGACCTCAAGTGATCCACCCACCTCAGCCTCCCAAAGTGCTGGGATTACAGGTGTGAGCCACTGTGCCCGGCCTCCACTGTTTTTTTTTTTTTTTATGTGGCCATTCTTGAATTGCTACAACACTCTGTTACGCACTTGATTGTGTTCCCTAAATGCATATGTTGAACCTTTATCCCACATGACCTCCCTGGAGATAAGGCCTCTAAAGAGGTAATTAAGGTTAAATGAGGTCAGAAGGGTGGGACCCTAAGCCAGTATGACTGGTGTCCTTAAAGAACAGGAAGAAATGCCAAGGATGGCTGGGCGTGGTGGCCTCACGCCTGTAATCCCAGTACTTTGGGAGGCTGAGGCAGGCAGATCACCTGAAGTCAGGAGTTTGAGACCAGCTTGGCCAACATGGCAAAACCCTGTCTCTATTAAAAATACAAAAATCAAGGCTGGGCGCGGTGGCTCAAGCCTGTAATCCCAGCACTTTGGGAGGCCGAGACGGGCGGATCACGAGGTCAGGAGATTGAGACCATCCTGGCTAACATGGTGAAACCCCGTCTCTACTAAAAAGTACAAAAAACTAGCCAGGCGAGGTGGTGGGCGCCTGTAGTCCCAGCTACTCGGGAGGCTGAGGCAGGAGAATGGCGTAAACCCGGGAGGCGGAGCTTGCAGTGAGCTGAGATCCAGCCACTGCACTCCAGCCTGAGCAACAGAGCAAGACTCCGTCTCAAAAAAAAAAAAAAAAAAAAAAATTAGCAGGGCGTGGTGGCGGGTGCCTGTAATCCCAGCTACTAGGGAGGCTGAGGCAGGAGAATCGCTTGAACCCGGGAGGTAGAGGTTGCAGTGAGCCGAGATTATGCCACTGCACTCCAGCCTGGAGACAGAGCGAGGCTCCATCTCAAAAAAAACACAAAAGAAACAAGCAGAAATGCCAGGGACGTGCAGAGAAAAGGTCACATGAGGACACAGCAAGAAGGCAACTATCTGGAAGCCAACGAGAGAAGACTCTGGGGAAGTCAGCCCTGCTGGCACCTTGATCTTTGACTTCTGGCCTCTAGAACTGTGAGAAAATAACTTCCAGCTGTTGAAGCTACACGGTCTGTGGCATTTCATTATGGTAGCCCTAGAAAACTAATAGAGACTTCCTAAATCTGAGAAGGAACGCTGGAGAGAATTCCTTTGGGAAAGCAGGGCAGTCACAAGCACTCAGGTGTTACAGGGGCTTTGCCCAGCGCAGGATGCTTGCTCAGAAACACCTGACAAAGATCCTACGCTTTCACCTTGGCCTGATCACGAGGGTCAGTGCAGGCCTAGCTAAGTGCTGAAGAAAAGCTGTGGTGCAAAGGCAAGCTTCAAAGACTGGGAGAGGTGTTTTCTTCCATTTTTAGCTCCTAGTATTCAAGGAAATCTGTATCAAAATGTGAGCTGAACACAAGCTAAAAGAATCAGAGACTTCAGTAACCACACATGAAAATGATAAATTTTTGCAAAAATAGTTCAGAAGTCACTAAACGTATGTACTACTACATAAACGTATGTATGACTAAAAACACACACACTCACAAACACAAGCAAATGCAATGAGAAGAATCATCTAAATGCCAGAGTTACTACCTTACAATATTCAAATGTCCATGTTTCAATGACAGGCACAAATCATGCCAAGACAAAGGAACGTATTCAAAGTAACAAAATAAATTGATGGAAATCAGCCCTTAGGAAGCCCAGACATTGGACTTAGCAGAAAAAGACTTTTCAAAAACTCTCATAAATCATGAAGGACCTCTTCAAGGAGAACTGCAAACCACTGCTCAAGGAAGTAAGAGAGTACACAAACAAATGGAAACACATTCCATGCTCATGGATAGGAAGAATCAATATTGTGAAAATGGCTATAGTACCCAAAGTAATTTACAGAGTCAATGCTATTTCCAACAAGCTACCACTGACTTTCTTCGCAGAATTAGAAAAACTACTTTAAATTTCATATGGAACCAAAAATGAGCCTGTATAGCTAAGACAATACTAAGCAAAAAGAACAAAGCTGGAGGCATCATGCTACCTGACTTCAAACTATACTACAAGGCTACAGTAACTAAAACAGCATGGTACTGGTACCAAAACAGATATATAGACAAATGGAACATAACAGAGACCTCAGAAATAACACATCTACGACAAACCTGACAAAGACAAGCAATGGGGAAAGGATTCTCTATTTAATGGTGATGGGAAGACTGGCTAGTCATATGCAGAAAACTGAAACTGGACTCCTTCCTTACACCTTATAAAAAATTAACTCAAGATGGATTAAAGACTTAAATGTAAAATCCAAAACCATAAAAATCCCAGAAGAAAACCTAGGCAATACCATTCAGGACACAGGCATGGGCAAAGACTTCATGACTAAAACACCAAAAGCAATTGCAACAAAAGCCAAAATTGACAAATGGGATCTAATTAAACTAAAGAGCTTCTGTATGGCAAAACAAACTAGCATCAGAGTGAACAGGCAGCCTACAGAATGGGAGAAAATTTTTGCAATCTACCCATCTGACAAAGGTCAGATCCAGAATCTTTTTTTTCTTTTTTTTTTTTTTGAGATGGAGTCTTGCTCTGTCGCCCAGGCTGGAGTGCAGGGGCATGATCTCGGCTCACTGCAAGCTCCGCCTCCCGGGTTCACACCATTCTCCTGCCTCAGCCTCCTGAGTAGCTGGGACTACAGGCGCCCGCCACCACGCCTGGCTGATTTTTTTTGTATTTTTAGTAGAGATGGGGTTTCACCATGTTAGCCAGGATGGTCTCGATCTCCTGACCTCGTGATCTGCCCACCTCAGCCTCCCAAAGTGCTGGGAGTACAGGTGTGAGCTACCGTGCCTGGCCAGATCCAGAATCTTGTAGATTCTTGTAGATCCAGAAACAAGGAACTTAAACAAATTTACAAGGAAAAAACAACCCCATCAAAAAATGGGCAAAGGGCCAGGCACGGTGGCTCACGCTTGTAATCCCAGCACTTTGGGAGGCCAAGGTGGGTGGCTCACCTGAGCTCAGGAGTTTGAGACTAAAAATACAAAAATTACTAAATTACTCTACTAAAAATACAAAAATTAGCCTGGCATGGTGGTGGGCACCTATAATCCCAGCTACTTGGGAGGCTCAGGCAGGAGAATCTCTTGAACTCAGGAGGTGGAGGTTGCAGTGGCCCTGGATCACGCCACTGCACTCCAGCCTGGGCAACAGAGTAAGACTCTGTCTCAAAAAACAAACAAAAAGGCTGGGCACACCGTCTCTACTAAAAATACAAAAAATTTAGCCGGGTGTAGTGGTGCACACCTGTAATCCCAGCTACTAGGGAGGATGAGGCAGAAGAATCGCTTGAACCTGGGAGGTGGGAGGTGGAGGAGGAGCTGAGATTGTGCCACTGTACTCCAGCCTAGGTGAGTGAGACTCGTCTCAAAGACAAAAAGCAGTGCATGTTGGCTAGTTTGTTAATCAATATTGGTTAGTTATTAGTTCCAAATAGATGCCAGGTAATATGGTAGGCACTGATGACATACTCATGACGCAAAGCTGGTCCCAGTGCTAGAATGATCTTTGTTCCTGAGATCCAGGTTGCTGCAGGGTATAGCATGGTGGGAGTTCCTTGGGCTACTGCCACTAGAGGGCAGCCGAAGCTCATCTGTAATGGCACAGTAATGGTTAACCCCAACAATCTAACATTGCCAGGGAAGAACTGTCCTGAAGGGCAAAGTACCAAGCTACCTAAAGTTTGTATTGATTCTCTCAAGATTGTTGCTAACAAAATTGTAAAATTGGTCAAGTTTGTGTTTGGAACCCCTAGCCTCTCATTTCTTCACCCTCTTTTTTACAGGTACCACCTGCAAGTAAAAAATGTGGCAGAAACAGTGAGTTGCATCTCTCACCAATAGGTGGGTCAGCGTGGGGAGGGAGAGGAGATTGCTGGAGAGGGATGGATCAAGCTGGGAAGCACAGAACTGCAGGCCAGAGACAACTATGGAAGCAGAAACAGGTGTGTGCTTCCAGTAACATAGGCACCAACTGTGTGACACTCACATGAGAAGGAGAAACACACACCTTCTACTCATAAACTCACTATTGACGGTGCACCTACTACCACCACCTACTTTGTGCAACACAGGAAACACTAATCAACACTAAAGACAGTGTCAGGCAAGGCATGGTGGCTCACGCCTGTGCTCCCAGCACTTTGGGAGGCTGAGGTGGGAGAATCGCTTGAGGCCAGGAGTACAAGACCATCCTCAGCAATACAGCGAGACCCTATCTCTACAAAAAGTTAAAAAAAAAAAAAAGACAGAGGCCAGGTGTGGTGACTCACGCCTATAATCCCAGCACTTTGGGAGGCTGAGGCAGGCAGATTACCTGAGGTCAGGAGTTCGAGACCAGCCTAACCAACATGAAGAAACCCCATCTCTACTAAAAATACAAAATTAGCCGGGTGTGGTGGCGCATGCCTGTAATCCCAGCTACTCGGGAGGCTAAGGCAGGAGAATCGCTTGAACCCGGGAGGCAGAAGTTGTGGTGAGCCGAGATCACAACATGGCACTCCAGCCTGGGCAAGAAGAGCAAAACCCTGACTCAAAAAAAAAAAAGACAAAAAACAAAAACAAAAACACAAAAACAAACCAGTCTCATTCCTTAATGAGTATAAAGAAGTAAAGTCTGTTTCAGTTACTAATTGCACAAGAAATCCATCCAAAACATAGTGGTATAAAATAATCATTATCAGGGATTCTGTGATTCCAACAGGCCTGGCTCGTCTCTGGTCCACGACATGTGGGGCCTCAGCTAGGAAGACGTGGAGACTGAGTGTGATCAATGGGAGGGGATTGGAATCATTTAGAGGCATCTTCATTCACAAAACCAGGAGCTGATACTGGCTGGCAGCCAGGACTTCGACTGACCTGTGGGCTGGAACCTGTCCACATGGCCCCTCCTTGCATTCTCCCCATTTGGGCTGGTTTGGCTTCATCACAGTCTGGCAGCTTACTTCTAGGGGCAAGCATTCCACAACACAGCACAAGGGCATGGCATTTTTATAGTGCAGCCTGGCAACCTCATAGCGTCGCTTCTGACCTACTTTATTTATTCGTCAGGGCAATCACAAAGATGTGCATAGGCTCAAGGAAAAGAGATATACCCCTGACCACGCAGTGGAAGAAGTGACAAGGTCATGTTACGAGAGGAGCGTGTGGGATGGGAGATAGGGCTGTGGCCACCTGCAGAAAATAGCATCTGCCATAGGCTGTCATGGTAGCGCAGGATGGGGATTTAGCCTAGCTGAGGAGTCAGTCAGCAAAGGCCTCGGCTAAGGATGTGAGGGGCTAAAAGGAGACTGAGGAAGAGTTTCAGGGAGAGGAATCAATGAGACTGGAGTCCAGAGAGAGGCTGGTGAGTTGAATGGTTTGCCTCAGTGTGATGACAACACAGAGGGCAAGGAGACTGGACTGGTGCAGGAGGAGAGGAAGGTGCCATGTGCTCTGGGTCGCGCCTTCTGTGTCGGCCCCCCTTAGAAGAGGAGCAGCTTCCAGTCAGCAGTGTCCCAGGAACACAGAGGCTGGAGAGGACAATGGCAGCCAATCCCCGCTCACAAACTGGTGACAGTGGGGAAAAGCTGCATGGTCTAGATCCACCCTGCTCCCTGGCCCCAGTATAGAAGATCAAATGCAATCTCTCCAATCTTATGCAGATAAATTAAAGGAAGACTGGAAAGAAGAACTAATCCATGGCTCCATCTGCCCATGACTATTCTCTGCTGACGCCAGAGGATAAAGAGACGGCACACGACATGTCCCAATGCAGTGGAGGTGGGGAGACCCCGCAAGTCCACAGGAAAAGAGTGAGGTTGCTGCCACCTGGGCATCTGCTATTCTCTGCTCTTCTGCCTCATCCTCAATTCAGACCATGATGGAGCTGATTTTCCCCCATTTTATACCTTGGATTGAATGTGTCTCGAGCTGCTGGTCTTGTCTCCAGTCACATCCAAGAGGTTTGTCTTTCAAATAAATGCTGTGTATCAGTGTGCAGTGTATATAATTAATACATGATATCAGACTAAATTATAGATAAGACAAGAGATGAAATCAGAGAGTTAAGTAGAGACCCAATGATGAAGAGCCTTGTAAATCAGGGAGAGTCTGGATCACGTGCTTCTCCAGACGCAATTTCAACAAGGCTGTAGGCATGTGCCACTGATGATGCGGACACTGAATTACCTGCCGTGCTGGTCTGTGGTTCTCAAGTTTTGCTCATTCTGCTTCTGTGGGAAATGCCTTGACTCACCTTAGGAAAACCCACTTAGATCTTTTTTTTTGAAACGGAGTCTCGCTCTGTCGCCAGGCTGGAGTACAGTGGCATGATCTCAGCTCACTGCAACCTTTGCCTCCCGGGTTCAAGAGATTCCCCTGCCTCAGCCTCCCAAGTAGCTGGGATTACAGGCACACACCACCATGCGCAGCTAATTTTGTGGGTGTGTTTTAGTAGAGATGGGGTTTCACCATGTTGGCCAGGTTGGTCTCAATCTCCTGACTTTGTGATCTGCCTGCCTCGGCCTCCTAAACTGCTGGGATTAAAGGTGTGAACCACCGTGCCCGGCTGGAAAACCCACTTATCTTTTAAGATTCAGCCCAACTGTCACCACCTCTGGGAACCTGTGGCCACTCTCCCTTTGGGGTCCCCGCTCTACCGTGTCTCTTTTCATTACATTCCTATCAGTTTATTGCACTGTACTGCATATCTGTTTCTCCCCACTCTGGCCTGTGGGCTCTTTGAAGACATGGGCTGTATCTTGCCTGTGTTTTGATCCCTCACATAGGATATGGTGCATGGTGAGCACTCACTAAATTTTGTGCAGAGTACTGCATGAATAAAAACTTCATCCAGGCTGGGCGCAGTGGCTCACGCCTGTACTCCCAGCACTTTGGGAGGCCAAAGAGGGAGGACTGCTTGAGCCCAAGAGTTCAAGACTAGCCTGGGCAACATAGCAGAGATCTCGTCTGTACTAAAACAACAACAACAACTAGCTGGGCATGGTGGTATGAACCTGTAGTCCCAGCTACTCAGAAGGCTGAGGCAGGAGGATCCCTGGAACCCAGGAAGTCAACGCTGCAGTGAGCTATGATCGCTCCACTGCACTCCAGCCTGGGTGACAGAGTGCGACCCTGTCCCTTAAAAAAAAGTAAGTTCATTTATAAACAGAAGTGAACAGGAATCTGACTCTTGTACTTTGGTGGGAGTTCGGGTTATCTTTTACCTGAGGCTGAGGCTATGCCAAAACTGAGGGCTATAACAACCAGCACCATGTACCACGTGCTGCTTCTGTGCCATAGAGTCTCCTACATGCTTGACACACATTCGTCTATTTCATCCTCCCAATAATCCTACTCCATGTCCAGCAAGGAGTGAAAAGGCTGTGGCAGGTCACATGGAGAAGAGGGCCCCCGTGAACAGACGAAATGAGGAAGAAGATCGGGAGAGGTCGCATGAGCTACAGTGCAAAGGCACAGTGGCTGCGGTGCAGGCTCTTTAGCAAGGTGCTTTGGGCTGGAGATGGGGTTAGGTTTTTACTGCCTGTTGCGAGATAGCGCCAGGAGACACAATCAACATGCAAATGGGTAGCATGTTTCATCACACAGAAGCAAAAAGTATTGCTCCCAAAATGAGAAGTTACGCCCTAAAAGTTATCAAGACAACAATTTTCAGTGCCAAATGTTGTTTCCAGTTCCAGAGGAGATAGAGTAAGCACACCCATTATATTTCTCTTCCAATTACAACTAAAACTCCTGTTCAAAATACATGAAGCAGCTGGGCATGTTGGCTCATGCCTGTAATCCCAGCACTATGGGATGCCAAGGCAGGCGGATCACCTGAGGTCAGGAGTTTGAGACCAGCCTGGCCAACATGGTGAAAACCCATCTCTACTAATAATACAAACATGAGCTGGGCATGGTGGTGCGTACCTGTAATCCCAGCTACTCGGGAGGCTGAGGCAGGAGAACTGCTTGAACCAGGAGGTGGAGACTGCAGTGAGCTAAGATCTCACCATTGCACTCCAACCTGGGCAACAGAGCCAGACTATCTCAATTAAAAATAAATAAATAGGCCGGGCGCGGTGGCTCACACCGTAATCCCAGCACTTTGGGAGGCTGAGGTGGGTGGATCGCGAGATCAGAAGATCGAGACCATCCTGGCTAACACAGTGAAACCCCGTTTCTACTAAAAATACAAAAAATTAGCCAAGTGTGTTGGTGGGCGCCTGTAGTCCCAGCTACTCGGGAGGCTGAGGCAGGAGAATGGTGTGAACCCGGGAGGTGGAGCTTGCAGTGAGCCAAGATTGCGTCACTGCACTGCAGCCTGGATGACAGAGCAAGACTCCATCTCAAAAATAAATAAACAAATAAAATAATAAATAAATAAATAAATGAAGCAATGATCCAATCAATCAAACAAACAAATTCTGGAAAGGTGGAGAAGAGGGCTGACCTAGTGGTGAGTTCCCGGGGGTTTGACAGTTTGTTGTTTAGCCTCCTCTATACCCTGTCTTACATTAAAGCAGTGTCCAGGAAATCCCAGTGCCCCCTCCAGCCCCCACCCCCCACAAAAGGAGCCTCATCTTTTGAGCCAAATGACAGGGAAGAGGGCAGCCCTGTGGGACAGTGCCCTTTTGACTACACACACCCTACTCTAGGAAAACAGTCTGAAAAAAGCTGTACCTTCCCCTGTCGTAGATACTGTAGAGACTGTGGGACAAAGACCTGTTGACCCTTCCCACCTGGGGCCAACACAAGCAGAGGTGGCATCTCTCCGTTATCCATCGAGCACTGGAAAGACTATGTGGAAGGGCCCTGTTGACTATCCACAACCTGCACAAGATTGAGTCACCGTAACAAGGTGGCACCCCATCCTCTCTCAGATACAGTGAGGAGCTAGAAGAAAGGATTCTTCAACCCATTTCCCGCTCCCTGTCCCACCTGCCACAGAATACGCCTCTCTGATCCTAAATAACATTGTATACATTTCAGTTACATAGGATTAAAGACAAGTTCTGTTTAATAATAACTCCAAGAACAGTTTATATATATATTTTTTCTTTTAGAACAGGAGTGAAAATTTATTAAAAAGTTTTAAAGCAGTAAAGAAAGGAAGGAAAGGAAGGAAAGTACACTAGGAGGAAGGCCAAACCCAGTTTTCATATTGTATTTTTGCATTGAAAATCAGTCAGATTTCCTTCAGCCTCAAAAGTGTGTTTATGTAAATGAAATGAGCGCTAGCAGCAAGCTGCACTTTTTTTTTTTCCTAAATGAGAAACAGGTTAAATATGTGTAGGAAGTCCTGGCCATGCCCTCCAAGTGCCCATGTGTGAAAACAACCAGGATCAACACAGCAAAAGCTTTGAGAGCTCAACAGCAATGTGGAATACTCTGAGGTTTCAAATTGGCTTCCAGAGCTGGGTGCGGTGGCTCATGCCTGTAATCCCCACACCGTGGGAGGCCAAGATGGGAGGAACACTTGAGCCCAGGAGTTCAAGATCAGCCTGGGCAACAGAGTGAGACCTTGTCTCTACTAAATATAAAAAATTAGGCCGGGCGCGGTGGCTCAAGCCTGTAATCCCAGCACTTTGGGAGGCTGAGACGGGCGGATCACGAGGTCGGGAGATCGAGACCATCCTGGCTAACATGGTGAAACCCCGTCTCTACTAAAAAAAATACAAAAAAAAAAAACTAGCCGGGCGAGGTGGCGGGCGCCTGTAGTCCCAGCTACTGGGGAGGCTGAGGCAGGAGAATGGCGTAAACCCAGGAGGCAGAGCTTGCAGTGAGCTGAGATCCGGCCACTGCACTCCAGCCTGGGCGGCAGAGCGAGACTCTGTCTCAAAAAAAAAAAAAAAAAAAAAAATTAGCTGGGCGTGGTAGTGTATACCTCTGGTCCCAGCTACTCAGGAGGCTGAGAAAGAGGAGTGATTGAGTCTGGGAGGTTACAGCTGCAGTGAGCTATGACTGGGCCATTGCACTCCAGCCAGGGCAACAGAGCAAGACCCTCTCTCCAAACAACAACAAAAAAACAAATTGGCCTCTGGGTTGCACACAGGTGGGGGAGGCCAGAAGAGCTCTGCAAAAACTTAGAAAACTAAATTGATCTGAGAACCAGAGCCCTGCTGGCCACAGAAAGTGCATCCTAAATCTAAACAGGTTGAGTATCAGAATATTTAAACAGGAACTACAGCCTCATAACATAACACTCAAAGTGTCCAGAATAAAATTAAAACTTACTCCTCATACTAAGAACCAGAAAAATCTGAACCCAGAAAAATTACTCCTCATACTAAAAACCAGAAAGAATTGAATGAGGAAAGACAACAGACAGTAACACTAAGATGACAAACATGTTGGAATGATTGCCTAAGGATTTTCGGTGAGCTATTTTATAAATGGCCCAAGAAGTAATTGTGAACACTCTCGAAACACACTGAAAAATATAAAGTCTCATTGAAGATATATGGAAGAACTACATTGTAATTTCAGAACTAGAAATTACAATAACTAAGTAAAAAACTCAATGGGTGAACTCAATAGCAGAATGGAGATACAAAAGAGAAACAAATTAGTGACCTTGATGATACAGCAGCAGAAATGATCCAATCTGTATCATGACAGTCTTGCCATAAGAAAAAAAAAGTATGTAGAAATAATCCCATTTGACCCACAGAAAGAAAACAAATAGAAAAAAAAAAAAATGAACAATGGGAAAACAGCAAAAGCTCTAACATTCATGTCACTGAATTCCCAGAAGGAGAGGAAAAAGCAGTGCACAAAAAATATCTGAAGAGGCCGGGCGCGGTGGCTCATGCCTGTAATCCCAGCACTTGGGGAGGCTAAGGCAAGAGGATCACTTGAGATCAGGAGTTCCAGACCAGCCTGGGCAACATGGTGAAACCCCATCTCTACTAAAAATATAAAAATTAGCCAGGCGTGGTGGTGCATGCCTGCAATCCCAGCTACTCGGGAGGCTGAGGCAGGAAATCACTTG